GCGGTTCATTCCGCTGTGGCAACCCCGGATTAATAAAGGGACTACGCCGACAAGAAAAGAAATGATGTGTGTGTGAGTGAAGTGCATGTGTGAAAATGTAGTCCAGAAATGGCGGATTTGTAGTCCATAGTGATTATGAGTGAGATCCAGCGGTCTTAGAAGTTAAGACCGCTGGTGATCGTGACAGTTACATTGTAACCCCGTGTCCTAACAACACGTTATAAGACCAGATTTCCATTGATAAACAGTTTGGCTGTTTGCACCAGACGAAACATGGCAGAGAATAGTGCACTCACTGCACTCCAGCGAAATGGTTATATGGAAATGGATTATAATCTAAGTAATACATATTACACCTCTTTAAAATTAATAAATGTAGATGCTGAATCACTGATTTGTGTTGGTTTGCAACAGCTCTAGAGTTCAATCTCAAACAGTTTATGTTGTTTTCCAGATCCGAGCTGAACTATCTGCTGCTGCTTTCAGTAGTATAGCAATAAATGTCACGTAAAATGGCATTCAGACTCACATTATTAGCATTTAACACTGAATAAAGCACATGCGGTGCACCTGAAGTCATCATTGTTCATCTATGAGATTCTAAAATATCTATTTCAGGTGTTGGTTAGAACAAAAACTTCTTTTATTATGGAAAATATTGTGGAGAGCATCCTGACTGGCTGCATCACCACCTGGTATGGAAACAGCACCAGCAGCAATCACAAAGGCCTACATAGGATTGTGCGAATTGCTGGACGCTTAGTAGGAGGTGAGCTTCCCTCCCTCCAGTACATCTACACCAGGCAGGGCATGAGAAAAGCCAAGAGAATCATCATGATTCCAGCCACCCAAGCCATAGACTTTTATCTCTGCTACCCTCAGGCAGACGGTTCCGCACCAGCCGACTGAAGGAAAGCTTCTTCCCTCAGACTATCAGGCTGATGAACACTTAACACACCCCACACAGACTCTTCCACACCCGTCACTGCACCCCTGCATGCACTGAATTAACCAATCCGTACTTGAAACAATACTGCCTACAACTGTGTGTACACCTATTCATTGTACATATCACTGTCAACGCTGCCAATTTACATTGTCCTGTTTTTTGGGAGTATGCTGTTGTATGCTGTTGTATTTGCACTGTCTGTATTTTGCACTGTCTGGAGCCAGCACCTAAGCTTTTCACTCATCATAGCACACATGCCACTGAGAATGTGACAATAAAAGTAATATGATTTTAATTGGATTTGAAATATTCCTTCTATCGCGTGCTGTTGCTTTTAGTTTGAAATAGGTTCAGATCATCCTTAAATCAGGGTTTAGGTTTGATAGTCAGGCACACTCATGTCAGTCTGGCAACCTGGGCTAACTTGCAATCATCAGAGGAGGAGCCGAGTGAAAATGTGTTTTAAGAAGTGCAATACCGAATTCAACCACTGGGTGTCAAACTTACATACTGCACCTTTAATGCTGTTATTTTTTAAGATGGAAATTAGCCACAGTTTTCCGGTGAGTGTTGGTGTAAGGGTAGGGTAAAGAACAGTAAAATAAGAGTTTTCTACTGTATAAAATTCATTACACCAATTAAGAAATTAATCATCAAAACCAATATGTGTGTGTGTGTGTGTGTGTGTGTGTGTCTGAGTGAATGTGTGTGTGTGTGAGAGAGTGTGTGAGTGAATGTGTGTATGTGATTTTGTGTATGTTTCTCTTTCTCTCTCTGTGAGTGTGTATACGAGTGTATGAACGAAAAAGTGTGTGGGTGTGTGTGTCTATGCGAGTGAAAGGGTGTGTGTGTTATTAGCAGTCCGTCAGTATGATGGCAGCTCAGCTGTTTTCAACTTAATGCACATTGAACCTAAAGGCGGGA